CACCCCAATATGCTAATCTGTTTATGGCAGATATTGAACAGCGATTCCTAGAAATACAGCTCACCAAACCATACAAATATTATCGCTATATCGATGATATCTTCATAATTTGGACTGAAAGCCAAGTAAAACTGATACAGTTCCATGACTCTTTTAACACATTCCATCCATCAGTCAAACTAAAAATGGAATATTCCTCTAGATCTGTGAATTTAACACCACTGTGACATGTAACGATGGCACAATCCACACCTCAGTTTACAGAAAACCCATAGACAAGTGCAGTTACCTTCACAGCTCCAGCTTCCACCCCTCACATACTAAACAGGGCATCATCTACAGCCAAGCCACTAGGTACCATCGTATATGTTCTGGTCCTAATGACCTTAATTCCCATCTAAATGTACTCTCCCAATCTATGAGACAGAAAGGCTACAAACCAAAGACTATTACCAAACAAATCAACTCTGCTGTAAAAACGCCACGCACGCGCCTGCCACAGTACAGAGAGAAAAAACATATCTGCACGAGTGCCACTTGTGGTCACCTACAACCCAAATGTTATACGGAAATACGGAAAATCATTAAAGACCTACAACCAATGTTAACAGAAGATGATACTCTGAAAAACATTTTCTCTGAAACACCCATTTTGGCTTTCAGACAACCACCAAACCTCCAACAAAAATTAATCAACAGGAAGCTGCATACAAAACTACTCCTATCTCCTCAGAATGCCACTAGACAACTAATATTTTAAGTTTAACAAATGACATATCACCGAACAGCAACTAAATAAGCAACCACAGCAGTGACTTAACTAGCATGTACCTTAACGTATGGTTCATACCTAAGCAGTCATATTCGTGGTCTATGAATGTTTGTCGTGGCATTATATATAATAGACAATACATTGAGAATAATACTAAACTGTATATTTAACATAAAATTGTGCACGCAAGAACATACCCCTTACTGTTATAAATGTATGAAAAGCATGAGGAATGCCGTTGGGGTACCCCATGCACGTTGTTATATCATATGCACTACAAAAATAAAGAATAAAAAAAAAACCTTGCTGCAAACTGTGTCAGCACATATGCATAGACAACAGAGCCACATACAACAATAAAACCTACAGCATTAAAGGATCATACTCCTAAACATCCAGCAATGTGGTATACATGAGTCAATGCACCAAGTGTGTAGGATGCTACATTGGGGAAACCAGCCAGCAATTAAATGGCAGAATAAATATGCACAGACACTCCATTATACACCACAAAGAAGAATTGTACTGCACTCCTGTGGGACACCACTTTACTCAGGCTGGCCACTCAATGAAGGACCTAAAAATCAAAGTACTGAAAGTACATGAACACTCCCCCAGTATTATCTTACTGTTCTATCATACGTATCAACATTTTAAAATGCATCCCATTATATTTATTCTATCAATATACAAAATAATGTGTGTAGACCTATGCTTTCCCATACTCTTATGCATGTATGCTTATATTTGTGACTGTGCATTTATATTTGTATATATAAGTTCATGTGCATGTATGTATGTGCGTTCATGTATTTATGTGTATGCGTATACATGTGTGTATTTGTGTGTGTGTGTATGCATAAAGTGTATATATACATGTATGTATATGTGAATAGGTGTATGTGTACATATATGGGGATGTAGTAAATGCAAGTGCACCGCAATCCCACATTAATAAACTCAATACATTGCAACTCGCTCTGCCGATTTGTGCTACAATGTAATTAGAGGACCCACCATTGTGACATGCTAAAAGAACTAAACTGGCTGTTGCTGGAATCCAGACGCACCCTTCATCTTTCCAGACCTGACTGCAGTTCGTCGTAGTAACTGACTTGAGTGGGCAAATGCTCACATTCTAAGGCGCCTGGAACTTTGGAGAGGTGTTCTCTTCACGGTTTTCACTGTGCAGGGCAGATGGCAGACAGCGTGTATGGTGTCATGTAGGTAAGCAGTTTGCTGATGTCAATGTTGTGGATCTAGTGGCCCATGGTGGCAGTGGGGTTATGGTATGGGCAGGTGTATGTTATGGACAACGAACACAGGTGCATTTTATTGTTTGTATTTTGAATGCACAGAGATACCGTGATGAGATTCTGAGGCCCATTGTTGTGCCATTCATCCACGACCATCACCTCATGTTGCAGCATGATAATTAATGGCCCCATGTTACAAGGATCTGTACACAATGCCTGAAAGCAGAAAACATCCCAGTTCTTGCATGGCCAGCATACTCACTGCATATGTCACCCATTGAGCATGTTTGGGATGCTCTGGATCGGCGTATACGCCAGCGTGTTCCAGTCCTGCCAATATCCAGCAACTTCGCACAACCATTGAAGAGGAGCGGACCAACATTCCACAGGCCACAATCAACAACCTGATTAACTCTATGCAAAGGAGATGTGTTGCTATGCGTGAGGCAAATGGTGGTCACACCAGATACTGACTGGTTTTCGCCCTCCCCCCGACCCCGTTAATACAGTAAAACTGCACATTTTAGAATGGCCTTTTATTGTGGCCAGCCTAAGGCACACCTGTGCAATAATCATGCTGTCTAATCAGCATCTTGATATGCCACACCTGTGAGGTGGATGGATTATCTCGGCAAAGGAGAAGTGCTCACTAACACAGATTTAGACAGATTTGTGAACAATATTTGAGAGAAAGAGGCCTTTTGTGTACATAGAAAAAGTCTTAGATCTTTGAGTTCAGCTCATGAAAAATGGGGGCAAAAACAAGCATTGCGTTTATTATTTTTTTCAGTGTACATATATATATATATATATTTTAAGACATGCAGTGTCAAAACTAAAAAATTAAAGCGATAGTGCTTTGATGTATACATTCACAATGCACATTGTATATCTGCTCTATGAAAATTATAATAAAAGTGACATTACTATCCAAAACCTCATCAAATATATACCTTCCTGTGATCACCTCCAAAGGGGCCTCTGAAGCTGGGGGGGCTAGGCAGGGTGCTCAACTCAAAAGGAATCTGGATTTCAAACATACATAGTAAAGACAAAAAGGAATTGGAGGCACACCTGGAACATACATTTGGCAGGAATGGTGCTGCCGTATTTATACAAATTTATACATAATACAGATTAAGGAACGGTGCACAAATAAATTATTTAAAAATTTTATAGGCTACTTAAAATCACATATCTCAGCATGGTAAAACCACCACTACGTCACAGTACCCCAATATGGGTGGGTCCTACACTAATTTCAACTTGAGAGCCAAATTAAATAGTGCTAGTGTGTTTATGTGTGTACTGTTCCTTAATATTTATTATGTATAAATTTTGGTTTCTACGACAGCACCATTCCAGCAAAATGTTCCGGGTGTGTCCCCCAATTCCTTTTTGTATTTAGTATACACATAGTTACAGACACACACAGTCACACACAGTTACAGGCACACACACACAGTCAGACACCACACACAAACCAATATAACTGCCACCATGGTCGTCCTTAAAAAGGGTGGACTGAGAAGCTGCTGAGGAATGTGGCTCGGGGGGCTCGGCAGTGTGGCTGTCCTGGCCACAAAAATCGGGGTGAGGGGGCGTCGTGTGGTTAGACCTCCCGCGATCAGATGGGTCCATCTGTTGGCCATCTTTAACCAGAGGCCCGGTCTATGTGATACTGCGGTGTCTTGGAGGGAGAGGGAGAGCCTGGAGTCCTGACCCGACTCCCCTCACACCCAGCCAGATGACACTGGACCCCAAGGAAGCCACCCCTCAGCACCAAAAAGGTATGGTAGCAGTGGTGTGGCACAAAATGTGCAAATTGTGATATTTATGTGTGTAAATGTAAAATCTGTGTGTGTGTATGTGTGTCATTTATGTATATGTGTGCCAGTGTGTGTACATGTATGTAGCTGTGTGTATGTGTACATCTGTATATCTGTGTGTATGTGTCAGTGTGTATATGTGTTTGTATGTGTCAGTGTGTATCTGTGTGTGTTAGTGGGTATGTGTCAGTGTGTATCTGTGTGTGTATGTGTTAGTGTCTGTATCTGCATGTGTGGCAGTGTTTGTATATGTATGTCTGTGCATCACAGAAACATACTGTAGAATGTGATGGCAGATAAGAACCATTTATCCCATCTAGTCTGCTCAATTTTCTAAATACTTTCATTAAACCCTGGCCTTATCTTAAGCCTAGGATAGCCTTATGCCTATTCCACGCATGCTTAAACTCCTTCACTGTGTTAATCTCTACCACTTTAGCTGTAAGGTTATTCCATGCATCCACTACCCTCTCAGTAAAGTGTTACTTCCTGCTATTATTTTTAAACCTTTGCCCCTCTAATTTAAGACTATGTCCTCTTGTTGTGGTAGTGTTTCTTCTTTTAAATATAGTCTCCTCCTTTATTGTGTGTGTTTTTCTTTTTTTAAGGTAAATAGGTTTACTAAACAAATTAAAGCAATAAATAGTAAACAAGTTTTTCTGTGAATACAACCGAATTTCTCAGAATCCCCTATTTTGGCCATTCTGATTTTAATCTCCTACGATTTGGAGTTTATCTAATACATGTACCAGTAAACACTTGGTATGTTTAGTACTCTGGGAAAATGGGATCATTAATTTTAGACCAAGCTATTAAGCCACCTTGCACATATTTTGCAATAAGCAGATCCACTTCCTTTCGAGATAATTTCTGAAGTATTTTTACAGCTTTTTGAGAGTCAATTCCATTTTTGCAAATCATGACCACCATACTTTTTTCCTTCTCATTTTCTTTTTGCTTCAGTTTAGCCATGTTGTCCTTCACAATGTTTATCCACTGATTGTTACACTCTTCCATTCGACTCAGAGGTATATGGACAGAATGTGGCAAGCGGCAGATGTCCACTTCTACCTGGGGCCGAACATCAACTAGAATCTGTGAATGTCCATTATCAAGAATGTTCTTGTAGTCCTGGACAGATAATCATTCTTCTTTGGAGAGCAGATTTAACATTCTGGATCTATCAGAAGCGGATAAGCCGCAGAATGTTTCATAGTTTTTAAGAATAACATATTCTGAATTATCACTGCACACCACACAATCAGGTTTCTTAGAGCGAATTTTGATGTTGCGGAATTGACCATCCAAAGCATTGTACATCAGCAACACTCCGCTATACGACGATGGTATCTCAGATGCTATCTTGAGAACCTCCAAGGCTTTCAGGCTTCCTATTATTCCAGAAACAATACCAAGTACCCCACCATCAGCACAGTTTGTGATGGTCTCTGGTGGAGGTGGGTTAGGAAAAAGACATCTATAACATGGCTCACCTTGATAGTTATAGACAGTAAGTTGACCATCCCACTTTAGGGCACTGGCTGATACAAGGGGTTTTCCAGCAGCAACACAAGCACCATTGACCAAGTATCTGGTAGGGACATTATCAGAGTAATCTGCAACTATGTCATAAAGTTTAATAAGTTCAAAGCGGTTTCAAGGTTAAGCATCATGTGATAAGGGACATACTCCACAGTGGAGTCAGCTTCTGCAGGGATTTCACCACGAATAGAGATTTGGACATGCCTTGTCTGTTTTCAGCATGCAATACCTGTCTGTGAAGGTTGCTCATTTCTACCACATCATGATCTAGGAGTCCCTGGCGCCCTTCTCCAGCTGCTGTTAAATATTGGTCCAGAGGGCATCCTAAACCCCCACAACCACCAGGACAGACGTGTTTGCAAGACTGAGCTGGCCTTTAACGACAAACTCTGGCAGGACCAGCTGTCTGCTGAATCTCAGGATGTCTGCATTGGAGAGCTCAACCTTTGACAGCCCAGGCAGTCTCTCTATGGTACTGGGTGATGCTGGCCCTTTGAAGTGCTCCAAGTTTCTCTCTGAGGGATAAAATCTCTTCATCCTTCCACTTGATCTCGTCCTGCAAGCTCTGTGTGTCGGCAGATTCCATGATCCTTAGGAATGACTGCTCAGGGCCACACGCTTCTTTCACTTCCGCATTATTCATGGCAACCCCTCCTTTACTGTGTTGATTCTCTTTATGAATTTAAATGTTTCTATCATATCCCCCTGTTGCGTCTTTCCTCCAAGCTATACATGTTAAGATCCTTTTACCTTTCCTTGTAAGTTTTATCCTGCAATCCATGAACCATTTTAGTAGCCCTTCTCTGAACTCTCTTTAAAGTATCAATATCCTTCTGGAGATACGGTCTCCAGTACTGCGTACAATACTCCAAGGGAGGTCTCACCAGTGTTCTCTACAATGGCATGAGCACTTCCCTCTTTCTACTGCTACCTCTCCCTATACAACCAAGCATTCTGCTAGCATTTCCTGCTGCTCTATTACATTGTCTGCCTACCTTTAAGTAATCTGAAATTATTAACCATAAATCCCTTTCCTCAGAAAGCGGTAGTGTTTGTATATGTGTGTTTGTGTATCTGCATGTGCATGTGCATCTGCATCAGTGTGTGTTTCTGTGTATCTAGATGTGTGTCAGTGTTTCTATCTGTATCTGTTCATCTACGCGTGTCAGTGTTTTTATCTGTATGTCTGTGCATCTACATGTGTGGCAGTGTTTGTAACCGTGTATCTATATGTGTGTCTGTGTCTGTACCTGTATGTATGTGAGTGTTTGTATCTGTGTATCTGTATGTGTGTCAGTGTATATATGAAATCAGAAAATTGCAACTTGATTCTTCTGTTAAACTTTTGCATCAGGTTTCTCAACTCTTTGCATGCCTGGGCTTTATGTGACAATGTCAATGCTCTTCCCCTTCATGACATTATCAAACAGGGGCAGAGCATGGATGTCATAACAATAATGCTCACCCCCCCCAAAAATGTCTGGGGACGCCCATGGCTGCCACACTATGTGTTGTATGGACTTCAAACTTTCTAGGTAGTACACAGGTCTACTGGTGTATGCCATAATTTCATTCCTACAAAGCGTTCTAAACTCATTTTACTTTTATGGGCATTTAAAAACAAGTGCTAAAACAACAAAATATTTTTTATAGGCTTTAAAAACCAAAATGCCTAAAATAATTATAAATAAAGCAGAGACACAGATGAGCAGATATTGGAAATATGTGTTGGAAGACAGTTCAATAGTGAAGTAAATGCAAATGTATGCAATCTCAGGGCACCTTGAAGGTAATAGGCTTGCTGTATCATCTTGATTTTTAGATAAACTTGCTTTGAATGTGGTAGATGACCAACGCGTGGACATCTGTGTCAGATTACATAATGTTCTTAACAAATTGTTTCAGAGAAGGTGTTTAAGGTGAAGAATTTAGAATAGGCCACTCATATGACCAATCATCTTCTTTATCAGGGGAGGGCTTGCAGCCTTAAGCCTAGGGGGCAAATCCAGTCAAGTGGCCCATTGCACTAAGAGGAGAGTAAAAACACCCTTCCCATGTGATTGAAAGGGGGGGCAGTCACCTAAACAGACACACTCACTGACAGGCACACACACACTTGCTGATTTGACACACACACACTCACTGACAGGCACACACACTCACTGACAGACACACACAGACAGACACACTGTTATAGGCATACTGACTGACACACACACACACACACAGACATACTGGCGCACACAGACAGACATAATTGCGCACACACACACAGACATACTGAAACACACACACACAGACAGATACACACACAAACTTTACACTTTTAAAGCCAGTAGACAGGGATTGAGGTAGTGGACAGGGCTGTGGTAGAGGGATAGGGGCTGTAGTGGGGGATATGAGCTGTAATTGGGGGGTTAGGAAATGTAGTAGAAGTATCGGGGCTTAAGTAGGTTGATGGCTACAATTTGGGAAATGGGCTGTGGTGTGTATGATATGGGTTGAAATTGGGGGAGAGGAGCTGTAGTGGGGATGTTATGGGGGCTGTAGTGGGGGGCATGGGGCTGAGAAAGGGGGACAGGAGCTGAATGGGGGACACAGGAGCTGAGAGGGGGTTGGGATACAGGAGCTGAGAGGGGGGGCACCGAAGCTGAGTGACACACACACGAGCTGAGAGGGGAGGGGTCAGGAGCTGAGAGAGGGGACATGGGCTTAGAGGGGAATAAAAAAACAAAAAAATTGTGGGCAGGAGGGGTGGGCAGGAGCCAGGAGGCAGGAGCAGCAGCCAGCAGTCAGTGGACTCGGCCAGCCTCTCCTGATGATGTCAGAAGGAGGAGGCGTGACTTTCTCTGCTCTTCTCTAAGACTCCCCAGCAGTCCTGTGAGAAGAGCAGTGAAATTCACACCCCCTCGTCCTGACATCATCAGAAGAGGCCGGACAAGTCCACTGGCTGCAGGGAGAGAGGTAAGTTGAAAAATCCGAGTCCCCAGCCAGAAGTAGAGCCAGGGGATTCGGATTTTTATTTTTTTGCTGGATGCGGGCGGCCCTGGGTTTAGGGCGCCCCCCTGTCCCAGCCCGCCCCTGTTTTTTATAACTATAACCAAATCTGAATTTTGGTCACAGCAATAACATCATACACCAATTAAGCAATTTAAAAAGTGATATAATAATACAAAGAAAAACAATACATCAAATGTCCCATTGTTTTTTGGGACCAAATTCCTCGTAGTTAAAGAAGAACACCAACTTTTAATCAAACTTCCCAAATTCTGTTTTTAACCCCTTCTCCTCTGACAGAGGCCCCACCGTCCATTATGCTCTCACACAGAGCGAATGAAAAAGTTTGAGATTGACACTACCGTCTGGAGTAGGTAACACAATCACAAACAACGCTGTCCTTTATCACACGACATGAGCAAGCTAGATCTGTGTCAAAGCCTGTTTCTATCTTTGGCAGCCAAATTTTGGTTTCAGTGATACGAATCTCAAAAGAACATTAAAGTGATTGTTTATTGCCTTCCATCTCCAGCAAGGATGTCAAACTTGCAGGTGTATTTGTGTCAAAACCCAGGTGCATGTATCGAAATTACCTCAGTCATTCTGGTGAGCGTGGAGCTGGGTATTAGCTGGGTAGGGACACACAGACACATCTGCTTAGCACAGCACATACGTCGATATAAATGTCCACCACACTATCTATCCATAAAGAATGTCTTGCAATTGTTATAATTCAGGAAAATAAATGACAGCTTTAAGCAGGATTGGTCACCGGGGAATAATTAACACTTCACAGTCCATCAGATTACTTAGATCCAGACACCATAGCAACCGTTTGGCGGCTGTTCATTGCTATTAAAGGTAACTGCTGGATACCTCAGTAAAAAGGCTAGATTATGGTCATGATGAGGAAGAGAGAAAATAAAAGAAAACCTAATATAAAATCTAAGAGTTATAACAAACAATGTGTGTGCAACAACATACCTCGAAGAGGAGAACCATATATCTTGAAATATCGTACTTAGGAATTGGAGGGAAAATGGGTTGACATTTCCGACTGATAAACTGTGATATTTAAGAGCACAAACACGATGCAATTACACATGGGCTTTTAGTTTTAATGTTCACCTGCTTGCTGGCTGAGATATATGTGGTTTAGTTTTGAAAATAAATACTAAGGGAAAAAGAAAGGTTATGGTACTCTTTGGTGGTTTTATTAGCATTTTAAGGTGCATGCTGCCAGTTCAATGCTGCCGAGTATTTACAGACAAAAATCTTAGCATGAACGAGCCGTGCAATTCACCTTGCCTCCTTTTATGGGGTAGAGATTTAGAAACAAGCCAAATCAGCCCTTTCTTTTTTTTGTTATGTTTGTTTTTCCTGATGGGCTAAGTTGAGACCTGTAGAAGACAATGTAGTTCACATGAATTTATTTGCCAGGTTTTACTAGTTCTTAAAGGGACACTCCAGGCACCCAGACCACTTCTGCCCATTGGAGTGGTCTGGGTGCCAACTCCCACTACCCTTAACCCTGCAAGTGTAATTATTGCAGTTTTTATAAGCTGCAATAATTACCTTGCAGGGTTAACTCCTCCTCTAGTGGCTGTCTACTAGACTTCCTGTTCTGTTGCACAGGTTTTCTGTGCTATAGCATCGCTGGACGTCCTCACGCTATGTGAGGACCTCCAGCGTTGCTAAAATCCCCATTGGAAAGCCTTGAAAGCATTGGTCTAATGCGCATTAGGTCTTATCCCGCCGGCAGCCGCGCATGCGAAATCGGTCTCCCCCACCGGCTGATGTCGGCGTGGGAGGAGCGTGGATGGACCCTAAACCACCGCCGAGGGACATCGGCGATGGTCTCAGGTAAGTCACTGAAGGGGTTTTCACCCCTTCAGCAACATGGGATGGGGGGTGGGAGGGAGAGGGAACCTGCAGTGCCAGGAACACGATTTGTTTTCCTGGCACTGGAGTGTCCCTTTAAGTATTTTTGAATGGATGTCCTACTTTGACGGATTAGCGACAAGCTCAACTGTGCATATGCTAAAGCAGGTAAGGACTAGGTTACATAAAGGCTACTAGACTTATAAACAGTCTGTCTATTTTCATCTCTTCCTAAAAGAAAGGAACAAGGAGGCAGATGTTAGTGACTGGAACAATTCTAGATGGAGCTATTCACTGATTTAATTCCATTTAATTTTAGTTTGTTTTTAGCAGGGATCACATCTCTTTGTGTTTCTGTGTTTTAAAACTTTTTGTAGCATTTATGTTCATGTGTGTTTACTTATTTTACAGTGATGTGGAATGTTGGTGGCTTATTATGATGATGATGATTAATTGATCACACTTACACAGTATAATTTTAAAGGGATCTAGACTGTAAGCTCGTTTGAGCAGGGTCCTCTTCAACCCATTGTTCCTGTAAGTTTCTTGTAATTGTATTATTTATTGTTAAATTGCCTTGTAATATTGTAAAGCGCTACAGAATTTGTTGGCGCTATATAAATGCCAATAATAATAATAATAATAACAGAGGGGGGAAAAATCATCTAACATTGTTAGCACACTGTGTGTGATGTCACTCGGTTCTGATGGAAATAAACAGACAATGAACAGTGTTGGCATCATGAGAGGATGGATCCTGCTTGG